AATACAAATGTAATGGTGTCGAATTTTTGGGATCATGTTGATATTACCGACACAATGAGACTTGGAAAAATGGCGGAAACCCTGGTGCCAGTATTCATGAAGAACCAGGAAGGTGAAGACATAAAACATGAAGAACTTTTATTCATAATACCAGAACCTCTTTTCAGGCGCTTTGATTTGCCACTTAGAAAAAAAAGTGGCTAGAGTTACAGGTCAATATGTGAAAGGCCTTAGAGAAGATTTAAAGTGAGCCCTATATAGGACTGGTTTCCTTATCACAGATGACTCAAACAATGAAAATTCAATGATTCTTTACTTTTCAAAATTTGCAGAATTAGTTAAACAGAGAAAATCAATTTACTAGGATATTCTTACAAACATGTTACAATGTTACTCTTGGGAAACAGTCAAATTAAACTGTCCTTTCAGTAAATATAGGATTGCTTGTGAAAGATGCTTCTGCAGTTTCTATCACAATTAAGAAAAAATGGTGAAATAAATAAGATAGCAATCATTATGACGAGTAAAAGGCCACAGTCTTTCGTCATACAGGATTACCAGTATTTTTCAGAGTATAAAACGCACCTTAGTTTTTTTGGGAGGAAAATAAGAAAAAAAAAATGCTGCCTCTGTCTACCAGCTAGCGTCCTTAGCAAACAGCCTGGTCAGCTTCAGCACATTAATTCACTAGTTGTGAGTGCTTGTTGGGGCTAATATGCAGCTTTGGAAGCATAGCTGGTCATTGCAAGTAGTTCCATTGAGTAAAGCAGGCAAAGCATAGAAGTGGTCAGACAAGGCAGCTTCCAAGTTGCCATTTTGGCCTCCATGCCTTGCGTTTTCAGCCTCCAAATGCTCCGTTTGAGACCCGTGGGGATTGTCAAAGCACATTGCCGCCAATCACCAACTGAAAACATGACACACAGAGGCCAAAAATAGGGCGTGCGGAGGCCTAAAACACTGCGCGGAGGCGGCGAGATGCTCTGGTGATCTCTACAGCCTTGAACTGGTCTCAAATGGAGCATTCAGAGGCTGAAAACATGAGACGCAGAGGCCAAAAATGCAAAGCATAGAGGTGGCAATGGTCTGTGACAATTCCTGCAGCCTGGAACAGGTATAAAATGTGATGTGCGGAGGCGGAAGGGTGAGGGCCGGCAGGTGGGTGGGGCTACATTCAGAGTATAAGAATTTTCACCTTTTAGGGAGGGGGAAAGTGTCTTATACTCTGAAAAATACGGTATGTTCTAATAAGTGGAATTTGAATTTTAATGTATATGAAAAGCTTGGGCTGCAAATCTCTTTCTCCCTTTTCTGCAATTATTATTCCTGGGCTTTTGCAACAAAAAGAAAAAAAATTCTCCAGCTCTTAATTTAAACTTAATTGTGATCATAAGTTGAGGACCACCTGTATGTGTTGCAAATATCTCCTAGAAATGATTAATTTTTGGGCCATCAATGTATGATCTTAATATATATAACATTATTTAATAAAATATAGTACATTTAGTTCAAACTATTATCTCAAACATTTCTTGAGATCAAACTTGATTCCTTGTATGAGTTTATAGCTGCGATTCCTGCTGATTTTCTGAAAAAAAAGTCTACTTATATACTGGCCTCAAAAATAAGATCTGAAACCATTTCAAAAAACTAGTTTTCCAATTACAGAGGTTAACTACCATTTCATCACCAGCTAAGATAATTGCTCAATTGAGAAGGGAATTAATATTGAAAGAAAAATCCCAAAATGATGAAAACAAAGGCAGACAAGCAACTCAAGAACATAGATACTTAAATTGTGTGTTGTATTTATAGCTATAAATCAAAGTCATCATGTAGTAATATGGCAATAGGGCAACTACATCTGAGCTACAAAAATCAATTTTCCATCTTTCTTTCTGCTAATGATTGTTTGAACTTTTGAAACTAAGATAGGGCAGTCCTGCAATTATATAGGAAACAATTCTTCTCCTAAGAGTTATTGTTTCAAGTTTATTTTAATATTCCATGTTGTTTTTCTTTTATCTATCTTCTTTTAAAAACTCCACGTTTTTTCATATTTATCTTTTATTTTTGTAAAAATCTTTAACAAATAAAGATCACAGGAAGGAATTTAATAATTTCAGAGAACTGTTGCAAGAAACAAAAAGCAATATTATAGCGACATTAATAAAGATACTGAAGATACAAACAAAAAGAAAAAAAGTTTTCTGCACTCAAAAGGTAATTTAAAACTCTGATTGGTACACTAAAAAATGCCAATGAAAAAGTATAGCAGATTCGAAAAAAACCAAATGAAGACGGTCCTATAATATGAAGTTAGCTCAGAATTCCAATCAGAAGGCTATAAAAACTGATTAAATATTTATAGAAATATGGCAAAGAAGAAGAATTGTAAAGATTTCAATGGCAAATTGTGCCAGCAAATCTTGAGGACGGCACATTGATCAACAGATTGAAAGAAGTCAGTTTTCATACTAATACAAAAAAGACTTATAACAATAGGCAAACTACTACATTTATTTATTAATATTTTCATCTTGCATTTATTGTTTTTTATAAATAACTCAAAGCAGTGAATATATCTAATACTCCTTCCTGCTCCTATTTTTCCCAAAAGAATTCTGTGAGGTAGGTTGAATAAGAGACAGCGTGCTGGCAAAATAATACTTAAGTTTATTGAACACATATTACAGTTTTGTATGGAAAGGGAGATAAAAACATTACTGCTAATGCATATTGGATAAGAGTATTTACTATATGCCTTGGTGATTGCCCATTTAGTTTATTGCAGCCACTCCACAAGGAACTGCCTTTGACGATCACTCAGCTACAGTTGGTGCAGAATGTAGCAATGGAAGTACCGTAGTTATAGGTACATTTTGACATGCACATGTAACACCATTTCTACCTCAGTAGGCTTTCAGGTAAAATTTAAGGCATTTTTCACTTAAAAAGTCTTTCAAAGCACAAGGCCAAACCATTTGAAAAACCAGCTATCTCCAATTGTCTCTACCTGTCCAACAAGTTTACATAGCCAATTGTCTCTACCTGTCCAATGAGATTAGAGTTAGTAAGCTCTGGTGCCACCTATTAAATAGTGCCATCTGGCAGTGTGCCTTTTCAGTAACTCTCACTACTCTATGGAATAACATTCTCTTGGAGATCAGGATTATTCTGAACCTATTGGTCTTTAGAAAAGTTCTGAAGACCTGTTTCTTCTATCAAATGTTGGGCTGGATGCACCACGAGCCATAAATATCTATTAATACATGTGAATTTTGACCCCAGCAAGTTTATATGTGTTTTTGCATCCGTTTTCTATTGTTTACTTTTTATATTGTTTGGGCCACTCTTAGTGTTAGTCACCCTGAGTGATTGATAAGTTGAAAGCCATATAAATTGATTAAAATAAAATTTAAAAATGGCTACTTTGAGCATGGTCCCTCTCTTCACTATTTTCTAGGATCATGGGCAATGGAACAGTCTGTTACTCTGGCTTCTTGAAGCAAATCAGATATGCAACCTGATCGTTGGCTCAGAGATCTTGATCAATCTGAGATACTACTGAACTTTATAAATATGAGCTTATCAGACATCTGCTACATCTAACCCATGTGAAAAGGTTCGTCGCATCCATTGATTTAGCAAAAATGTTTTGGGTTGAGAAGTCAAACAGAATCTATCAGCTGATTCAGGATTCTTTTCTGTCCAAAAACGTATAATCAGCCAATACTCCTTGGAACATTAAACACTTGCACCAAGCCAGATTTGAACACCTTGACCACATTATCTGGATTTGCACAAATTCTGTACTACAACATCCTGGGTTCTTGGGAAGAACTTTATGCCAATGAAAGCTAACACCAGCTAAAGAACTGGCAGCTGTGATTTCACATTGTGTATATAATAATGGCAACTAGTTTTAATCTCGAGGTCTTCCATAAATACAAGTCAGCAGTGTGTGGTAGCAGCCAAAAGCGCTAATACAATTCTTGGTTGTGTCAACGGATGCATAGAATCAAAATCACATGAAGTATTAGTACCACTTTGTAAAACCTTAGTAAGACCACACCTGAAATACTGCATCTAGTTTTGGTCATCACATTACAAAAAAGATGTTGAGGCTTTGGGAAAAGTGCAAAGAAGAGCAACTAAGATGATTAAGGGCCTGGAGACTAAAACATACGAAGAATGGTTGCAGGATTTGGGTTTGGTTAGTGTAGAGAAAAGGACAAGGCGGACATGACAGCACAAGCGTGCATAAGTGCACCAACATGCCTACCGCCCCTGTCCTACTGTCCCCACTTATTCATATCAATTTCCTGTATTCATAATCATTTTTATACTTATATCTGTTATACATGCTTGACAAAACAAACAAACAAAATAAATAATAAGTATTCCAGTATTTGAGAGGCTGCCACAAAGAGGAGGGGATCAACCTATTTTCCAAAGCACCAAAAGGCAAGACAAGAAGCAATGGTTGGAAACTAATCAAAGAGAGAAGCAACCTAGAATTGAGAAACTTCCTGACAGTGAGGACAATTAACCAGTGGAAAAGCTTGCCGTCAGAAGTGGGTGCTTCATCAATGGATTTTTTTTAAAAGGTGAGACTGGAAAGTCACTTGTCTGAAATAGTATAGAGTTTCCTGCTGAGCAGGGGGCTGGACTAGAAGACCTCCAAGGTCCCTTCCAGCTCTATTCTGATTGAAGTCGTCAGCCGCTACAATTACTTAAAGCAGCGACTGCTTTTTAAAAAAGGGCCAGGTTCCCGCTCCGCCGTCCTGGCAACACTCAAATCGAATGGGGAAGCAACTGCAAAAAGACGCCCCGGCAGGGAGAACGATCGGTACAAATATGGACGCCCGGGGAAAACGGCGTCTTTGATTGGACGTCCCCGAGCCTGTCAGTCACGGCGAAGGGAGTGGGCAGGCGGGCGGCGGCAGGCCGCGGCGTATCTGGGGTTGAATGGCGGAGGCGGGTCACGGCCGGGCGTGGTCGGCGCCTGTTTCCTTTTGCTTCCCTTCCGGGCTGCGAGAGCGAGCGAGGGCCTGGTGGAGCTGCGGGCGGGGAAGACGGGAGGAATCCGCTGTCATTCAGTTCAGTCATTCGGTCGGTCGGTGAGGAAGGAAGATGGACGCGCTCGGCAGGAAAGTGGTCGTCTGCGACAACGGCACCGGGGTGAGGAAAGGCAGGCAGGACTTTCCGGGGATAGCCGGTTTTGATAGAAGGTGGGTGGGTGACTCAATGGGGGGAGACCCTCGTGGGCCTGGCGGCACCGACAGCAACGGCAAACAACTCTACCCTCCTAGCCGGAGGGAAGTTGGGCTGCGCCTCAAGGAAGCTGCAGCTCTTTTAGGGCGCTGGCAGGGAAACCTGCTTCCTTTCCCGTCGTCCTGCCTCCCAGAAGATGCGGGGGCGCCTTCGGTTTGGGTTTGTTCCTTCTGACCGGCCGGGGGACGTTGAAGGCTGGCCAGGGGATTCATTTTCTCTTCCTCCTTTTATGTTATTTTGCCGTCAGCCTCTGCAACCCCGATTATTAACTGAATAAACACATCTCTGCCCTTTCAGCCAGTTTAGCTCTGCCCGCAAGTTCGCCGTCGTGCCTTTCCTTCCTGCTGCTCGCAACCTCGAGCAGACCAATTTCCTGTGTGTGTCCCTCTGTGTGTGCGTGTGTGTGTGCGCGTTAATATTTCTTGTTCCTTCAATTGGGCTGGTTTTTATACACCGGAAGTCGCAACAGAGAGCCCTGCATCGCTAGGGTTGGGGTGGGGGTGGGGAGTGTGTTGCATGACGGCTTTCTTCGCCCCACCTCTAAATTTTTGTAGTCAGTTATACCCAAGCGAAGTTTGCATGAGTGTGATTTTCGAGGCTTTTTTCTTTGAAACAGTGAATCGGTCAAAAGACAAGGAAAGTACCAAAAGAGAGTTCCTTTTAAAAGTATGCTGAAAAAATAAAATGACTTTAAACATATATGCAAATGCACTATAAAGTAGTAGCACATTGAAGTCATCCTCACTTCAGAGGGTGAGTTGATTTTTATCTTCCCCCATCTACTTCCTTCAACCTTGCCAAGTAGAGTAGCTAATTTTTCTAGTGCACACAGTTTCGTTGCATGTCCAGAATATGAACTTCTGCTACTGATAATCCCAGAACCAGGATTGGTTCTTTAATTCTTCTTGCAGCACATGTTGCTTTCTCTATTGGTTACCTTATATTTTCGATCTTGTGTCCTTTGCCTTTTCTGAAACTCTCCTGTTAGGTTGGAAATTTAAAGGTTTTGTTCATTCTTCTAAAAAAAATCAGCAGAGATTATAAAAACAGTTTTCATTGTTTTTATATCAAATACATTGATTATGATACTGTTAATTTGGGCTGATTCTAATTTCACTGAGATAAGCTGGGACAATGTATGAATACATTGTGGTTTTGCTTTGCTTTGTATATAAGAGAAATAAGATTACTCATTGATATAATTTTTTATACAAGCTAGATGTATTTTGTTTAACAAATTAATTTGATAGGTGCAAACAGGTGCCATTGAAAAAGTACTCAAACTTAATAGATTGAAATTAATATTTAATATTTCTGATTTTGAATATTTTTAAAGTTTACATCAATCAAACTTGGCTAATATTGCACAATCACAGAATAATTGTTTGCAAGGAAAAAGGATTTAATGTTTTCTAACCATCCAATATTGTATATCATGGGTATCAAACTTACGGCCTCATGTTGCTGTCATGTGACATTTCATGATGTTTTTCCCATTCGCGGAGCTGGGGTGGGCATGGCTTATATGTGACACATCCAAGCTGCCAGTTTGACACCCCTGTGTATATTGTCTTAATTTTTTCATTGTGCATATTTTACTGTTTAGAAGGTCTTTAAGAAATAGAATATTTTTCAATGCAAATTGAAAATGTTCTTATCGGAATGTATTAATTTGGATGTATTAGGTATCAAGTTAATAGTGCAACCACATAGACGTTTTTCCCACATTGTGTAAAGAAAAGTTATGGAAAACTTCCACTTCAAATTTTATCAGTGTTCTTCATTTTAATTAAAATAGTTATATTCAGAATATAATCATTTATATACAAGTGTTGTAGGATATTTAAAAAAGGTATGTCCACAATGCAATATTACTAATATCAAAAGATGTAGAAGACAGTGTAAACATAGATTTTTCTAAAATAAAAGATTTGTGAAGAATTGTATTCTTATTTCATTCTATTTAGGTTTCACTCTATTTAAACAACAGTTTATGTTTGTGGCACCTTGTGTCAGTCCAGTTCTGTTCCTCACTATCTTGTAGTTTAGTTGTGTCTGATTACTGGTTGGATGCTGTAATCATTTTGGTAAAGGTCAGCATATTAACAATAAATCTTAAAAAGATGCTCTGGATTGTTCCCAGACCTAATAATATGGCAAGAGTGTAGGTGACTGTCTGCAGTGGTTTCTATTTCAGGTAAGGTCATAATTATATACCAGGCAAAGCTGAATAAAGAACACCTAACCAAGGTCTTTGTCTGCTCCTCTAATAGGAGATATGACTCCAGGAGGACTTTCAGATTGGCAGCCTGCTGTATCTGAGGGAACACAACCCCAGTCAAGGTCAAATATTATGTAGATGCTATAATCCTGGAATCAGTAACTTCTGAATTGACAGCTACTCCATCTTACTTTGATTTCTTCCTGTTCCGATCTTGATCAGGTGGAACATCTATTGCATTTTTCATATAATGAATACAGAACCGATTGAATAAATTTCTCCCAAAATATGTTTTAGTGGCCTTATGTGATGTGTTCAGTGGTATACTGAAGGGTTTCCTTTTAGGATCAATTTCATTATAAATCAATTGGATAAGGGGTGAAAAATACATTTACAGATGATACGGAGAAGGATAGCAGGCATCTAGGAGAACAATATAAGTAGCCCTCAACTTATAACCAGAATTGAGCCCAAAATTTCTGTTGCTAAGAAGGACAGTTAAATGAGCTTTGCCTCATTTTATGACCTTTCTTGCCACAATTATTAAGTGAATCACTGCAGTTGTTAAGATAGTAACATGGTTATTATGTGAATCTGGCTTCTCCGTTGACTTTGCTTGTCAGAAGGTCATAAAAGGTGATCATATGATTCTGGGACACTGCAGCACTCATAAATATGAGTCATTTGCCAAGCCTCTGAATTTGGAATACATGACCATGAAGAGGCTGCAATGGTCATAAGTATGAAAACAGGCATGTCACTTTTTCAGTGCTGTTTGAATAGTCACTAAACGAGTGATTATAAGTTGAGGACTATTTGTATCAAAATTTGAGAGCTGTTAAGGTGGAGCAAGGGGCAGAAACCAGCTAGATGAGCGTTATTTTATTTACTTAGGTCTCTTTACTCTCAGCCCCTTGAGATGACTAGGTTAAGAAATAGATATCACAAGGATGATTAGAACTCTATTTTTGTAGGGAAGAATGTTAAATAAAAATAATCTTGAAATGTAGAGTTCTTGGTGCTCTCTGAGCTTGTTTGTTTGCTTGCAGATGGTTCATTGACCAACTGTGTAATATCAATGTGAGTCTTGAAATGAATTTTGAAAAACTGCCAGGGTTTACTTCTGCCCCCTATGTGCCACATAGGATCAAAGCAGAGTTAGTTTAAATCTTTTTTTCAGCTTTCCCAAGGCTGATATGTTATTTGGCGTCTCTTTTACAGTACCTGATAGGGATTCTTGCATTTATTTTCACCAACATCTCTGCCTTGCTGAACATAGATTTTCAGTTGGGACAAATACAAAGTCCTACTTTTGAGTAGGAAGAATCAATGGCAGAGGTGTATGCTGTGGAGGAAAGTATACTAAGGAGTATTACATACCGACTTGGTATCTTGGTGGGTTACAAAATAACACAAGTCAGGACTAGCCTGGAGCAGGAAGGAAGAAGGGAGGGAGGGAGAGGAAGGGAAAGAAGGAAGGAAGGAAGGTAGGTTGCTACATTGCATCAGCAGAAGTCTAGAGACATTTCTCATTTAGCGTTTGCAAATTCAGTGATGATTTTTTAAAAAACTCACTTTCCAACTAGTGGTGCACTTACAACCAAATTTTTGCATCTCCCAGCAACACACACCCAAATGAAAGTAATAATGATGTTGCTGCAGGAAAGAACTTCACCTAATGAGACAGTAGTAACTAGTGAACTTTGCAACATCTTTCTCTCAGTCCTATGCTGTGCTTAGGATCACTAAGTGATCATTTCACTTAGTGGCCTTTTGCTTCTGATTTAGAAATGAAACTTGGTTGCTAAACGAGGAGAGGATGTAGTGTGAAGATCAAGTCATTGTTTCTTTCTGTTCTCTAATTGGTCAGACCACATGTAGAATATTGTATCCAATTCTGGACACTACAAGTTAGAAAAGATGCTGACAAACTTCAATGTGTCCCGAGAAGAGCAATCACAATAAACAATAGCATGGAAGGAAAAAATTGCAAATAATGTGATAAGGGGGTAGCGGGGTTAGATATAGTTACGTTACAAAAAAGAAAACTGCAAGGAAACATGTTAGCTGTCTTCCAATATCTGAAGGGGTTTTGTGTAGAAGACAGCCAGAATTGTTTTATAGAGTTTTTCAGAACAATGAGACGGTGTATGAAATGATGGCTTTTGCATTACAAGGAAGAAGGTTTTAGTTGGCTATCAGGAAGACTTTGGAAGATGGTGGATTCTATCTCTCCGGAGGTGTTTAAACAAAGTCTAGATGGGCATCTCTTGGGATGCTGCAATAGTAGATTCTTATACTGTGCAGTAGGTTGGACTAGGTGATCCCTTCCAGCCATCATACTTTTCTATGGAACATGTGCCTTTATGGTGCTTATTATTATGCATCTGCGGGTAAGTGAATTTGGGATTCTTGCTCAATGGGCTTCTGTCAGTATTTGCAGTACTGCAAATCAAAATCAGCTTTCAAACTTTCGACATAATTTTTATGCCAGGAGTGTTAATGGCATAAAATATCTGATGTGTTAACCTGTGTAAATTTTGCAAATTAAGGATGCCTGCCTTTAAGCCTCTTTTGTATATCTAAACATTTTAATGATAGCCAAGATTTGCAGATTTTTACTCTTGTCTGCATACCAAGAGTATGATGCCCCAGCCGATTTCTAAATATTGGAAAGCCTTGCTGTTTTAGAGTAGTCACTAGTCTGTGACCAAAAAGATAAATTTCTGGAGAAATTTAGTTATAGTTTAGATAATGGCTTGGATATATTTAACCATGTGTAGCCTATAGAGTGTATACTGTATGTGTGTTTTCAAATAATTTCAGCTATTTCCTGTGAAACAAAACAATATCAAAAGTTATTAAATGATACACCCAGTGATCTTTGAAGTGTTTGATAAAATTATAAAAAACATATCTGGAAGCTAACATGAAGGGTTTTTTTTCCTTTATAGTTTGTGAAATGTGGATATGCAGGATCCAATTTCCCAGAACATATCTTCCCTGCATTGGTTGGAAGACCGATTATTCGTTCAACTACTAAAGTGGGAAACATTGAAATCAAGGTAATACTTAAGAAACTTGATTCCTTGCATGGTAATTTGGGGTATTTCTCCCTTCCTCTGAATAATTGCTTCGGACATACTATGTGATAATCAAGTAACTAGGCAGTTATTAGTTTGCAAAAAGCATTATCATATTAACAGAAAAAAATATAGGATGTGGCTTTTTTTCCTGCTGGGTGTTTCCTCTAATAGCTTGTTGTTTTACTTGAGTGGGGGAAAAAAGAAATCCTCTGGTATTGTTTGTTTGTGTACCTCATGAATCTTTTAACAATATTAGCTACCTCACTTTTCTTCGTAAGGTGTACTCTGAACTCCATTCCAATCTGTTTCCCTATGAATTAAATACATGGAATTTGTTCTGCTTTTAAAACTAAAGAAACATAATATGGCAAAAGCAAAAAACCCATATTCGTCTAATAAGAGAAATTAAAGTTGATCATAACTGAAATGGCCGATAAGTCTAAATAAATAAATACAGTTTAGGTTCTGTAGCCTCTTCCAATTTGTTCCATGAGAGACAAGTAGATAAGAATATCTCACCTTGTAATTGTTAGCTTGACCAATAGCCTTTTTCATAGTGACAAGAAATTAGCTGACTTATAACATAGATTGAAGCAATGAACTTCTCCAAAGTTTTCTTGATTTGTGTGCTCTGTACTGTCTCCATATTATTAAAGCTGTGATTTTGTTCTGGGCTAAAAATTGTTTTTGCTTCTCTACAACACCAGGAGAAACATTTGTATGTTATCTTTGTTCCATGTTTGGACCCTCTGCCACGCAGAATTCATTTATTTTGTGGTAGGTAATATATTCTTCCTCCAGCAGAGCTTCCCGATGGCTGCTTCATTTGAATAGGATGCATTCTTCCCATAATCATTTCCTAAAACAACATTTAAAAATGGTTTTATCTTACTATCAAGATGTACATATAAGGGGAGCATCTTGAAATCTCCCCAGGAAGCATAGCGAAGGTTCTGTACTCAGATTGCAAAACTGAGACTGTTGAAGTATAGTGGTGGGGACTCTGAGCAAGATAAGCGTACAACTTGAGGGAAGAGGAAATAACTACTGTTATTTCCTCTGTTTTAAAGAGGCTGTGGTGAAACATATTGCAGCATATTGAATCTGCAATGCTTGGTTTAAAGTCTGCCTTTCAGCTAGCACATGGAGGTAGTTAGCTTTGACAACAGGCAATTTGAAGCTGTATTTGTGTCAGAAACACCTACTAAGCTAACCGAAGGGTGCTTCTACATTAAAAGTATTTGCTAGTGACAACACTATTGCTCAGGGGATGCCTGATTTGGGGATGCTTCATTCATGTCCCCTAGCAATTTGAATGCATAAACCGAATCAAATCTGGAATTCCTCTTGCATTCTAAAACAGCATAATACTAAGCCTTGACCATTGGGGATGGTACCTCAAAAAGTGCTATTTAATTAATTAGGTGGGCTTCTAGCCAGCTTATATCCTAATAGTATAGCCGTTGCAATCCTTTGCTTTTGATAGAATAAAAAAAGAAAACATAGTGATGCTTTTTAAAAAATAAGTTACTTGCCCTGTTCTCTTGCTATTTAGGAGCTTGCATACTCTCTGGTATGCTATTTTAGGGCCTAAATGTGTGTTCTTTCTCCTATTTTGACTAGCCTTTTAGAGATACAGTTCCCATTTCTGCTCATCCCCCAAATAGGCAAGGTGGGTTTGGAAATAAAAAAAAACTCTTAACAAACACAGAGAAGCAAGGATGTTCAATGCTTTGACTACCTTACAAACTAAAAGAGCAATCAATTAGTATTTTAAAACAAGTCTTACCACTTTCTAACAATTATGCCTGGTGTTTTCTCAGAGTGTAGCAGATTAGATTAGGACTTCCAGATGTAGGTTTCTTATTAGCCTTTTCCAAAGTTAGGGGTTGAAAATAGTTGAGCAGAAGATTGTCAGCAAAGAAATTGTGTAGCAGCACAATTCAACTGGGTTTTGTTACATCATGGAGTTTTTAGGTGGAGAGCCGAGGTGGCGCAGTGGTTAAATGCAGCACTGCAGGCTACTTCAACTGACTGCAGTTCTGCAATTCAGCTGTTCAAATCTCACCGGCTCAGGGTTGACTCAGCCTTCCATCCTTCCGAGGTGGGTAAAATGAGGACCCGGATTGTTGTTGGGGGCAATATGCTGACTCTGTAAACCGCTTAGAGAGGGCTGAAAGCCCTATGAAGCGGTATATAAGTCTAACTGCTATTGCTATTGCTATTATTTAGGATTAAATAACTATATCACTAAGCTTAATAAATTTGTTCTTAAGACTGGAGGTGTTAGAGTAGATAATGATTAAAAATATATGTTTAAGAGGTTGTTAAAGATTGCAAAGATTAAAATCTCATTTATCTTAGTTTAATGAAACATTTGCTCCTGAAAGCTAAGAAAATTTTATAGCATTTGTACGTGCTGAAGTTTGTATGTTAGTAAAATATCAGGTCAATTAGGTGCTGTACTTGGCTATTGAATCACGTTGTCAATAGAATGTCCTTCGGAATCCAACATCAAACTAACAGTTTTGTAAATTTATATCAGGAAAGCTCTAATAGTCTTAAGTGATTTTGAAGAGCAGCTGAGTCAAAATGATTAAAGTATGATTCTGCTGAAAAATTGAAGGATCTATGAGGAAAAGCCAATCAATATTGTTTGCCTTTGTCTTCTATATTTTAGGAATCAGTTAAATACTGATATTTTACAGAATCAGTCTTGCACAAATTGTACAATTTCTTTGGCAATAACTGGTTTTGAGCCCAAAAACCCTATAAAGAGAAAAGTTTATAATGTCCTAAATCTTGTGCATAAGTTAATAAATAAGGATATTGTTTTGAATCATTGTATGTACATGTAGTCCTTGACTTGTGACCATTAATTTAGGGACTGTTCAAAGTTACAATGGCACTGAAAAAAGTGGCTAATGCCCATTTTTCACACAATCATTGCAGTATTCTTTTGGTCACATGATCAAAAGTTGGCTGCTTGGCATCTGGCATGTATTTATCATAGTTACAGTATCCCGGATCATGTGATCACCTTTTGTGACCTTCTGACAAGCAAGGTCAATGAGGGGAGCTGGATTCATTTAACAATGGTGTTACTAAACTAACTGCAGTGATTCACTTAATGACTATGGCAAGAAAAATTGTAAATGGGGCAAAACTCACTTAACAACTGCCTTGCTTAGCCACAGTAATTTTGGGCTCAATTGTGATCATAGGTCAAGGACTACCTTTAATTCTTAACTAAATGTTAGGTCTATTTAAACGTATTCAAAAGAATGGATAGTCTAGACTTCTCTTATATCATACATTATTCATTTTCTTTGTTGAAGGTAGTTTTCCCCAAGTCAATATGTACAGTATATGAAATATGCAAGGAATGTGCAAGAAGAAAAGATTAAAGCATATGTTTTTACATAATTTGTTGCAATGGCTTTTTAAACTTTGTTTTTGCGAGGCTAGAAGGTAGTTTTGAGAAATGAAATAAAATTATATGAATAAGAAGATAGAAGTATGTTAGCAAATGTAGAAAACTGCTGTTGTTATTGCTAATATAAATGCAAATTGGACACACTTTTTACTAAGTCAAAGTAAAATCTATTTTTAGAGCAATGTGAAATTTTATTCATGAAGCCTTTAACTATGGTAATGTTCTTGTCATATATTTTGAATATTGGGTTTTTGGAATATATTAAAAAATATTAAAATAGAAAAGTTTCAGAGAAACTGCCAAGGTTGTTGAAAGTATCCCAGATAAGATATCTCAAAATATTTTTTGTATTCTAAACATTTGCCAAGCTGTTTAGTCAAACTGATGTATTCTAAATTAAAATAAACCAATTTTACTAAAGTAGAGCTCTACTTCTTTCTGGCAGACATGGTAGTGGTTTTTTATTGAAATATGCTAAAATATAGAAATCAATCTATATTGATTTTAATATTCATATTGATATCAATATTCAAAATATACAATTTCCCTCAATAATAGGAAGCAGGATTCTTAAACTGGGGAGATACAGAGCAACTGAAAATGCTAGTTTCTTATTTGCTTGTCTGTCAAAATATGTTCACGTCTACCATGAGCAATCAAGATACTCAATATGCTGAATTTTTTGTCAGTTCCCGGGGAAAGATACAGATAGATTTTTACTTGGTTAAGCTATTTTCATTGAAATTAGCATGGAGATGTTCATTCTTAGCAAATTTTCTATAAGGATATCTGCAGAGCATTTTTGGTAAAACCATCAGCCACTGTATGCAGGGAAATAACTTTTTTGTGTTTCATTTAGTTTGGTTTTTTTAACAGTAGCCTTTCTGTCACTTACCTTGAGGTATGCTATATTCAAAGCATTTCCACCTATCTCTGCATCTGTTTTCTGCTTTGTTTCTGTTATGTATACTTGAAATAATTTGGATAAAGGTTTCACCAGGGCCTCTTCTGATTCTCTTGCTTCTGCCTTTTCTTCATCTTTCTTGACCTGTTGAAGTAGAATAACAAAAAGATGGTAAGTGAGGCACACCTATGCTATCATCCACTCTTTTGCTTCATGGGACTTGTAGCCCCCCCTTCTTTCTTTCTTTCTTTCCTTCTTTCTTTCTTTCTTTCTTTCTCTTTCTCTCTCTGTGTGCTTTTTTCCTCCTTCATCTTTTATGTTTTAAAAACATTCCTATTTCAATCTTTCTTCATCATTTTGATTTGGTAGCTAGTACATCAAATTCTTGTAGATATTTGTAGTTAACTGCAGATGCAAGGCATCTACAGGTCTGTATATGTTTAGTACCTATGTTAGGAATCACTTATTGAACTCAGCAGAAATGAAACATACAGAAAATACCCACATTACTTACTGTATGAGCAAGATCTGTTCTGTGGGATCATTATAACAAGTAGGATAGTTCACACATAGAAACTGGTCTTTTCCCCCTCTACAAAGTATTGTAATCTTCATGTCTCGATTATATCTGAGTTTTATAGTAATGAAATAGGTATATTTATACATAAATGACTTTATTAGTGCAATGGCAATTAATTATTGTCTTTAAAGTATAGCTAAAATAATTATGGAAACATGCATCTGTATACAAACAAAAAGTCATGCATATATTTTTCTACAAAGTTGTATTTTCAAAAATTCTTACAAAAGATGGGGAAAGCTCTTGGTTTATATGTGTGAATCTACCCTAAATATGTTCTGTATTGTTATGTTCCCACATAGGTGATTCTTACTTACACCTTTTTAAACTGAATGCACAATTCAGTAAAGTTTTTTCCATGCTTCTGAAATTCAGTTTTAAGCAAATCATGTCTGAAGCATGCACTAAAAGCTTGTGATAACTGAACGAGTGTTGTATATGGTTAAACATTAATATTTTCAAGCAGTGTTATAGAACTAGTGTAGTGATGATTAAATTTTTGAGTCCAGTCTGGTTTATTTCTGAAACATAAACAATTTTGCTTGGGTTAATGAATGATTTTTGACAGGTTGTTTAATTACAACTAAAAAGTTTGATCTATTATAGGGTGAATTAGAAAGGGCTGTATTCACATTTTTACAATAAATAAACTCTTGCAGCTCTACTAAAAAATTAATTTGGCATTACAGCCTGAAGAAAATTACATTGCTAAAAGCTAATTGACAAATCTGTATGTCGTCAGTCTTTATGATTATCCCAATGATTCAGACATTGTGTTGTTTAGTCACTGAATGTTAATTCTTCATTTTTTGTTAGAAGATATTTAATAATTGCTTCCATTTATGTGGAATATTAACTTCAAAGCCTGAAGTCAAATTTAATGGTTCCTTATTAAATATACTTATTTTTTAATATACTAACATATTAATTAGGATAATGATGGGACGGGGCAAGAAATAATCTTGTATTCTTATATTGTTAAAACAGCCAATGGACTTCATCATTATTTTATAGAATAAATTATTGTGTAATTTTTATGATAATGATAGGACTCCTGAACCATTTGATAGTATTTAAACTAAGACCTTGGAGTGAAGTTCATATTTTTGTGCAGGAGAACAGTAACCCAGGTTTGGAATAAATGGCTCTCTCACAGATACCAATTTATTGCTGTAGACTAATATAAAACATCCATTTTTTTTCTAATCAGTGTGAAATTTGCAGCCCCTTATTTGCTTTTGCTACTTGTTCTCTATGCTTATGCAGCACTCGTTATTCCCATTTAGTAATGTGCACAGAAACATAAAACATGCATGGAAAATTTTTTCTGCTAAATTCACCTATTCTTCTTGTGTAGAATTTCAAGAACTTGTATATCTATTTATGGTAAAGTAACACTGAAGGTAGCAAAATCCAGAATCCCTAATATACCTGAGGCTTTATATAATGTTAACATTTAAAATTCGTCTCAGGTGACATAAACTTACTTGCATGAAAATAAATCAAATCCATGAAATGTATATGGGTATAACTATTTAAAGAACGTTAGTTGTATTTTTTCCCCATTATTACTGCCTTTTTATGATTTTCAGTTGAGTATATACCGGTAAATCAATTTCTCTCCCCCCCCCCCCCCTCAAATGTTATCGTAAAGGATAACTAGAAAAGCCATTTCTTTTTTGGGGGGATTGCTTTTATATATATATATATATATTTTCAATAAAAGTTTATAGAAAATAATTTATTAGTATCCATTTGCAACTTGTAGGATCTTATGGTTGGGGATGAAGCAAGTGAGCTGAGATCAATGCTGGAAGTTAATTACCCCATGGAAAATGGCATTGTCCGAAATTGGGATGATATGAAACATCTTTGGGACTACACCTTTGGACCAGAAAAACTCAACATTGATACAAAAAACTGTAAAATACTTCTGACGGAACCTCCTATGAATCCAACGAAGAACAGAGAAAAGATTGTGGAGGTAGGTGTCTTTTTTTTTAAAGTCATGCTATCCAACTTAGAATTAATTTTTCTTAATGGAAAGCATTTCTTACCTTACTTGTTCTTCAGGATAACTTTTATTGAGTTTTGATGAATAAGAGCCAAACTTACTTTTTAATCCAAGATCAGACTGAATTTATAGTCAGACATTTTTTTAAAAACTGTAGAAGTTCCATAGAATGCTTTTTCAGTGAAGCATTAGGTAATCCCCGAGTTATGCTAGTTCACTTAGCGACTGTTTAAAATTATGACATAGCCTCCCCCCAAGTACTTATGACCCAATCCCGAAGTTATGAATGTTGCACCACCAAGGTCGTTGTTCATCCTTATGAATGACCACAGAGGCACTGCAACATTTATCCTGCCTATTCCTGCCCCCCACCCAGTAGAGACTCACTACCTTTTGAAGATCTAGCGAGTTGTCTTCTTTCCAGCCTCTCTGTTTCTTTGCTGTCTCCCGGCAAAAGTAGAGGGAGAGCAGGATGATCGCATCCTTCTCAGCTTCTCTGATTCATTGAGGCTGGAGCTACAATCAGCCTCAGAGAGTCTCCTCCAAAAGCTTCTAGGCTCGGCATGGAAAAATGTTTGCATGCCAAAGTGAGGCTTTGGAGCAGCAAACTCCGGATGCTTCAAGCCTCTGGTTGGCACTTTCTGCCTGGAGACTGGAAACTTCTGGGTGCCCTGATTTCGTGGAACTTTATGCACCCATTCTCTGCAAAAGTGGATGGGCGCCTGACGTTGTGCAACACTATGGCCCCCAGAACTTTCCAGTCACCATCAGGTCTCTGGACCAAAAGTGTTTGGACACCTATGGAGGGCTTGGAAATGGACATTCGATCAATGAATGTATGGAGGAGGGCGTGATTACAGTCAAGTTACATGATTCACTCCTATGAATCCTTGGGTTACAAATATAATTGGCAGGCTCCATTACATTTGTAACTCGAGGACTACCTGTACTTTTTTCTAAAATAAATCATCTTTCATACTTGCAAATATTTTTTAATAATTCTGCTAAAACATGTAAGTGAACATTCTAATAATCAGAGACATAATCCAACTCATTGAATTAGAGCTTTGAAATCCTGAGTGCTTATAATACTACTTTGCATGGTAAGCAAATTGAGAAAGTGGTAAGAACCAAGCAAAAGTTGATATAGAAATTACATAATAAACTTCCTTGTAAAGAAAAAAAAGAACTTGAAAGAAAAGCATATTAAATTTAATAGGCTTACTTCCAAATAGAGCAATCTGTGATCTGATGTTCCACTCAAAAACTGGAAGTCAATTGTTCTGGCTCAGTTGAGAATTTGGCCTGAGATTCTTACTAATTCTTACTTAGAGGAAAAGTGCCTATCAACAAATGGAATGCCCTCTTACTGCTAAATTTATATTATATAGATGAAACGTAATCATTTTTGTTAATGCAGTGAATGTAGAAAAAATACTGATTGGAGGTCTAGGTTATTATTATATCTAGGCAATTACACATTTTTACTTATGTTGTATATATATATATTTCTTCAGGGTCACATCACAACTCATACTGTTTTTAAGAACAAAATATTTTGGTTTCACAATTAAATGGCATATGGTAATATACAACTCTGTGAAAAAGTCCTGCACACTTTCAGTTTTAAGCTGTATTTATGTGTTTAATCAACTTTTCACTTATGGAAACAATGCAAAATTAGTACTTTGATGAACATTTCTGTAGTCGGATTGAGATTCATAATTTTTATTAACATAACCAAAGTCTTTTTAAGGTTTTGAGTGAGTTTATGTTCTAAAACAAACACAACTTGAATTTTCGAGAATGTTAGGATCGAAAAGTAGCCAATCAGCAGCGAGCTTTGGCTGACCAATAAAAATGCACAGAGGCTAAATCTATGAGCCAATCAATGTTGTCATACTCTCTGACTATAAATAGGCATGAAAAGCATAGAGAAATTTAATTTAGCTCTGGCTGCGGGCAAGGATGAAGGCCTTTGCTTTCACCAGTACTGAGCAGCAGCATCGAATCATTGTGCTTCATGAAGAGGGTTACTCCTGTACAGAAATAGCCAAAAGAGTGAAATGCCATCGCACCACAGTGAGCAGAGTGGTTGAAAAATACCAAATAATTGGTTCAGTTGATGACAGGCTCCGCTCTGGAAGACCAAGAAAGTCGACAAAACGGCAAAATTGGGCTCTGCAACGCATTTCGATGGCTGACAGGACTCTCACCTCACCTCAGATTACAAGAATTTGGGGTGAAACATGATGTAAAAGTGTGCACAAGCACAGTGCATTGCAGACTGCTTGCCAGAGGGCTCAAAGGCTGCAGGGCTCGAAGTAAACCTTTGCTCAGAGACACTCACCACTCTCGTCGCCGTGCAAGGGCCAAGAAGTATGCCAAGTGGACCAATGAACAGTGGGCCAAAGTCATCTTCAGTGATGAGAGCAATTTCTACTTGAATGGGAATCAGTGCAATAAGTATGTCAGAAGATTTCCAGCTGAAGAATTGTGTTCAACTCCTGGATTGGCCAGCTCAGAGGCCAGATTTGAACCCAATTGAGAACTTGTGGGCCAAGATTGGTTACAAAATAAGCAAGAAGCATCCGAAGACCAAGCAGGAGCTGATTGAATCCATCATTGCAGCCTGGCACCACATTGTCACCAAAGATCACATGCAAAGGCTTATATAGTCTATGCCGAAGCGATACTGCCTGGTGATAAGCAATAAGGGCTGGCCAATTTCATATTAGTAACCATGTTGGTTACCAAACAGTCCTTTTCAGGGTCACAAACAATAAAAATGTTAACAAAACATTAGCATCAGCCTTAGTAATTGCAACACGTATGCCACAGGGGATGCATCAGTTAATCTGTTTTCATAGTCATTGTAAGCATGCATTGGAGACATGCAAGAAAATTCAGAATTCCCATCCAAACAGCACCAAGTTGCAAAAAGCTTATGGCTTTTCACTTAAAAACCACCAGTATTTATTTAAATATAACAATATTTGCATAGTAGTTAGCATAAAATATCATAAAATCAATGGGCTATCCAAAAAATGTCATAAACCGTAAAGCGTGCAGGACTTTTTTACACAGCTGTAGTATGCATAGTAAATTAAACATTAAATTTGCAGTGATTTTTGTTATCTCTATTGATTCTGGTTTCCATGCATTGGTTGAAGACTAAGAGGTGTGTTGGAAAGAAGTACAATTTAACTTTAATTATTTATTTTACAGAGTTTCAGAAAATAGTCATGCTGAGATTTTTCAATTCTAAAGAGAAAGAACTACACATTGATAATAGTTCCTGAATTTAAAACTTGAGAGGGAAATGGATTTTAGTGATAAGGTTGAAGAGAGAACTTCTGAAAGATCTTTATAACCAGAACAAATAAAATTATCTTGATAAAATACTTTCATTAGCAGAACAAAATGAAGTTTTAACTTCTGCCATTATTACCTTGTACCCTTTCCAGAGTTAGTTAATGGGTCAGGAACAGATTTCAAGGTTGAATGCACAATTGAATGCTGCATGGGAGGAGGAGAAAGTCCAATTTGGTGATTATATTTTTGTTTGTTTGATCTTGGATTTTGAGCAATATTCTGAATTGCTTAAATGAAACCAGGAATAAGCACTGAATAACATTTTGATGTACAATATATTCTGCTCCTGCATCAGTACTCAGGCTGCTACATTTTGTGCTACCTTTTAAACACTTTAATGAATGCACTTCTCATTTCTGGAGCCAGAAACAAAAAATGGCTGCTAAATCTAGATTTATTTATGGCCCAATTTATCTTTGCCTGATAATACAATAGACCTCATTCACAAATTGGAATTTTATCATAATATATTGTATATTTGGCTTAAACCATTTTATTAAAGAACAGTTTTGTTTGGGGATACATATAACATTGAAGAATTCTCAGAACTTAAATAGATTTAAAGCACTGCTTAAAGACAGAGTATCCCCCCCCCCATTCTGTTTATGATTTTATTTATGTATTATGTTTACATCCCACCTATCCTTCAAGAGCTCAAGTGGTTTATATGGGAATTCATTTTCATTTTGTTCCCTTAGCAATCCTATTCTAACAAGTGGACTGCTGTTTCTCTAGAAGAAATCTGTAGATTTAGATCATTAGCTTGAATAGCTCTGCATTAGTCTTATCAAGAGAGTGACAACCGGAAATGCATTTTGCATCCTTTCTTTCTTTTTTCCCCTTGAGCAGTGCTAAAATGGCAGTGCCTGACAAACTAGACATAATTCAAGACTGTCTATAGTGAATCAAGATTATGTAGTGAAACCTGGACAAAGATTTAAAGCAAGGGTTCCTAAAAATTTTAATATTGCAATCTCTTAACATGATAAATGAATTTGTGTGATATTCCTCCATGAATAAAACTAAATGATAAATTTTAAAACTGCCTTAGTTGACAGATGGGATGCATACATAGGTTTAGCCATTCTCCACACTCAAGTTAGCTTATAGGTTTGCCTAGACAAAGCAAAAACAAGTTCTGAGAGTGCTCTTGCTTTGCCTAAAGACGTTTGAATAGTTGTAAAATATTTCACATACTAAACTGGGTTCCATACTACAGTTTACAATCCCCTAGATTAAAATGTTGAACAAGGCTGAGGAAATCAAATTCAGTCTCATGTATGAGAACCTAGTGGGTGACTTTAGGTTAGTCGTTTGTTTTCTCTGCTCAATTCTCAATTCATGCAGGAAAGGCAGGCTGTAAAGCTAACAAATTAAAACAAATATTTATAAATGAATGGTTTAGTGGAATTAAATATATTCCATTTTGAGTCCACTACGAATCTTAAAACTTTGTATGAAGTACTATAAGAAGCTTACATGGAGCCTCTGTTTATCCTGAAAATAAAATCCTCTGTCACAACAACTTTAGCAATCTGCGGTTGTAACAGTTTTCTACAGAACTCTGTGTGAGTGTGTGTGTGTACAATATATACATACTTTTGCTCCATTATACAAATCAACTGTCTTTCAGTCACAGCCTGATTCTTATTACTACTTTTCTAAGTAAAATAACATTAATTTATGACAAATCTCGTATGACTTGGTTCCCTCTCCTCTCTTCTTTAACATTTACACAAAGCTGTAAATCACCCGTAACCATGAGTTGCTATATCATCAATATGCTGATGATACTCAGCTCTACATCTCTACACATGGTTACCATTGTACTGTTTCCTTCACTGGATCTTTGCCCTGTGCTCAATCTTATCCCATTCTATAAAGTTTTCAGAAAGTTTTGTTAAGTTCTGCTTACGTTTTCAGGGGGTAATGGAGCCCATATATTGGTTCCACTAGATTACCTTAGCTGTGAATTCTGTGAATATTTATGATGTGTTTTATATGCTTTTGTATTGTCTTTTATTGTTTTTAATGGATGTATTGTTTGGTTATTTTATTGTTTTAACTTTGTAAGCTCTTCAGAGTCATATATATGAGATAGGCAGCTATATGAATTAGAATAATAAATAAATTAGAATGCTAAGGAAAGATATTTATTTCTATGACTAAGTGATAAATACCCTGTGTATTAATGTATCTTCTTATGTTATTGAATAATTTTAATATTTGCATTATATTATTTTATTAATCTTAATTAAAAGGCAAACACTTTGAAATGTGTAGTCCATTACACTATAAACACTTGGTTAGCATTGGCTGTAACTTTAATATTTAAACTTTGTAGCTAAATTAGTGACAGTGGGAGGTATCCAAAATTTTCTTGGTAGATTTATAAACAGCCTGTCAAGAGAACAGAGTAGTGATTGCTACAGGAGAAGAACAATGGCAACCCCAGTTGCTGTTCCACATCCAAACATTTATTTGCTGGATCAGTCAAGCAAACAACCTCCTTTTAAACCCTCCTCTCCCACAATATCCATCGAATCTATTAAATATGCATCTCACTATGAAAACAATACTAGGAGCAGTGGTTAAATTAATCAAGGCTGTACTTTTGAACCTATCCTATATGACACACAGTTATGTGTATACAGTATCTTTCTAGGTTAAAAGCTGTCCAAATCTTATTCCACCCTGAACTCCTTTATCTGTCTGGAATTAGGCTATATCTCTATAGGAGCCTGTCTGAGTGCCTGTCACTCAGATCCTGTTTGAAGCAAATTCTTTGGATCATATATTTGGTCTGCCTCATCTTGCTAGATAGGTTTCAATCTTCCTTAAGAAGACAAATGAATCTTGGTCTGGCTTATTGTGGCTTCTGCTCTCTGCCCCAATTTTTTTGTGATGGTCTCGATCTTGATAAAACCATAGTTACCTTTCAGCAGAGAATCTGGGACATGTATCTTGAAATTGATATAGTCTCCTATGTCCATTATAACTCTGTAACCTCCTGCCTGATATTTTATAATATTTCTCGCACTTCACATAAGACATTCTTCATATTGCTCCAAAACATTGAATTACCCATAAGTACCAATTCTATTAATAGCCTTTATGAAAAGTGCACTTGTGTAGGTTCTGACATAGAAGCTGAATATGTTTCATGTATCTTCTAGACAATAAATGAAGGACTAAATTCATTATAACAATTGCTAAAAATCTTAATTGTTCCCCCTTGGTTTTTTCCTAGGTGATCAAATTTCACCTACAGGTAGTACTGGACTTACACCATTTGTTTAGCGACCATTCAAAGTTACAACAATATTGACATCACTTATGACCGTTTATGACAGTTGCAGTATCCCTCTGTGCATGTGATCAAAATTTGGACACTTGGCAACTGGCATGCATTTATGATAGTTGAGTGTTCTGGAGTCCTTTTGTGATCTTCTGACAAGCAAAGTTATTGGGGAAGCCAGATTCATTAAAAACTCTGTGCTGTTAATAGTTGTAAGGATTTACTTAAGAACTGTCAAGAAAGATTGTAAAATGGGGCAAAATTCACTCAACAACTGTCTTGCTTAGCAACAGAAATTTTGGGCTCAATTGAGACAGTAAATAGAGGACTACCTGTATTGCCAGGTTGCTAATTTTTTAATGATAGCCATGATTTGTAAAAATCATTGGGTGCTTCTCTAATGCTATTATTGCCTGAGGATTTTTTTGTATAATTTTATTATATTGTTAATTTATACTGTTATTTTATATCGCCTTTAAATATTTTAAAATATTGGTAATGGACAGTAAAATAAACAATAACATAATAAGTATGTGAGACAAAATAAAATTTTAAATTATATACTCAGTAGTTTTTGGCACACTAAAAAGTAAATGAGGAAGAGAATGGCAGAAACTATTTAAGGAAGTTTTCACTTTTCTGTTTGAGTAATAAATTAAACTCACTTCCTACGAAACTAGGTATTAATTCATATTGCACTTCTCAGACACAAGTATTATGCTTTTTCTTATGTTGCTTTTAGGAAAAGAGTTTACACAGCAACTTATGTTCCATATTCTTCAGGAACAACTTGCAATCATCTTCCATATTTCATAGCTATGTAATTTTCAGTTTTACAGACAAAAAACAATGTTTATCTTTTCAGGTGATGTTTGAAACATACCAGTTTTCTGGGGTTTACGTAGCCATTCAAGCAGTTCTTACTCTGTATGCACAAGGTAAGAATAAGTTTTACTTTGAATTACATGTATCATAAAGAAATATATTTGAGCCAAATCCAAATTACAAAAATTCCTTAAACCAGACAGTCTTTCTGGTAATATTTTTGTCATAAGGATATTATTTTGCTTGGTCTAGTAAAATTTAAAGCTTAAATTTAAAGTGTAAATCCAAGTGCATTATTGTATAAATTCATTTGTGTTTTTTAAATTACATCATTATTATTTTAGTTGCTGTTTCAACTTTTTTATTTTGTTTTTATAAGTATTTGGTTATCATGTACAAATAGATACTGTGTATACATATATACTGTATTTTTTGGACTGTAAGATGCACTAGAGTATAAGATGCACCATGATCTTGAAGAGATAAATAAAAAAGAAAGTTTTTGCACTCTGCAGGCCTCACAAACCCTCTGCACACCTTGTTTTTTTGCAAAAAAAGGTGGGGCATGCAGAGCTTTGGGAGACTCTTAGAGTGCTCCTGGAAGTGGGGGGCGGGGGCAAAAACTAGCAAAAAATGGCCCATTTTTCGCAAAAAATAAAAAGGGCATGCAGAGGCTTTGGGAGGCAGGGGCAAAAACAGCCCAGTTTTTGTTCATTTTTGCCCTCCCCAGCCCCCATGAGCACTTTGCAAGCCTCCCAAACCTTTAGCATGTTCAGTTTTGCAAAGGGGGGGGG